TATAATGTATGCTATACGAAGTTATTACGTTTGTATTATTTCCTTCCTGACCGGTACGTGTTTGAAAGGAACACTCGGCGGTGCTAGAACTGACTTCTTGCTGCGATTTACAATTTCTTCATCAGAATCAGTGTCTTCAAAAAGCCTATTTTGTACTCCTTTTCGTTTTCCCCTTCCAGTTTCTTTTTCAGTCTCATAGGCTGAACCTTCTGCTACAAAACCTCTAACAGCAGCTCTTACTTTTATATAGAGATCTGAATAAAATTATATAGAAATCTGAATAAATAAATATTAGAATGGAAATGAAATAAATTACAAATGTTTACATAATAATTCAAGTGACTTCAAAATTTACTTACCGTAATACCTTAAGACCTCAATTGAATACTTTGGCCAAGATCGGTCTACTGCTTTTTCCTTTTTAACAAAATTGCCAACATCTTGATCAGATAAAGGCCAATAGGTGAAATCTTTCAGTTCATCATCAATATCAGTTAGCCATTTGGTAAGGCCAATCTCATAATTAATTTCTTCCTCATCACTTTTATCATTCTCGCGTGCAAACTTTAATACTGCAAACTAAATTACAAAATTAAACATTAGCAATTCTAGCTAGTTCTAAATGATATGATATAGATAATAAAATTATGCATGCGTACTTTCATATAGAAAAATTTTGGACTGTGAAGAATGCGGTTTAAAATCATCATAGTACTTGAAAAATTTAGGTTAGATTAACTTATTTGTTACATAGTGCCAGTTATTACACCTTTGGATAAACTACGTGATAATTTTTCTAATGAATAAATAAGAAAGTTAGAGAATAAGAGAATAAGAGAGTAAGAGAGTAAGCTGTTGTGAGATTTATCGATCAAAAGATGGAACAATCTAGCCTAAATATACTTACCGCTGGTCCATCCATAATGATATTCACCAATTTTCATTCACCAATTTCAATAGTATTTACCACGTGTACATCAACGTCACTGCAAACCAGTGATGCGATATTTCTCACCGCGGTCCCGGCTCCGCTGTCACACACAACCTCACAGAAGCGCTACGTCACGTATCCGTGTGAGCTCAGTCGTTCAACCAATGGAAGAGAGCGAACGTCTCCCTTCCACCAAGCCGACACAACAGACGATAAATGCATGCTACTTGCATGTTAAAAGCAAGCGTTTCTGATTCAGAAAAGAAATTCTGAGGCGAGTGGCTGGAATATTAGAGATCACCTGTTCCGTAATAACTTCGTTCG